CCACAAAAATGGACATAGCTAAGTAATCTAAGGCAACTTACCTTCTCCCACCATGGACACTCCCACAGACATTCCCATGAACTTGCTCTTGGTCCACACATGAGCGTTAATGCACGTCCTCCTCTCCCGACACTCGCAATAAAACCCAGACACTGGTGGATGATGGGAAACCTGCTCGGCCACAAACTTGACTCTGTAGAACCCGCTCTGTGAGTCCTCACACTGCGATGAGTTATTGGGGCCCCTGTTTGGCTCCCGGGTTGAACCTTGGTTTGATCTGACCATAGGTTTGATCTTGTCTTTAGGCACTTCCCAGGAACAGTGGAAAGTCTCCCCCAGTATGGGGTTGTAGGGTTTTTTGGCAACTGCTCCCTTGCGCCCCTCGTGAAAGGCAGTTAGATAATACTCTACAAAACGAACTATTCTGTCCTCTGCAGTGGACCCAGCTGTAATGGACAGGAACATGTCAGGGTGAGCCATGAAGTTGGCGTACATTTCCAGTAGTGATCGTTTCTCCAAAATGAATGTGGGGAGCACCACCTATGTATGGAAACATGACATTTAAAAAAATGAAAACAAAAACAAAACACATGTTTACACTGTAGGATATTTCCTCCTCACCCGGGTGAGGTCCATGCCCAGTTTTAGCTGTGACAACAGGTGAAGAATGACGCTCCTTTGGTCATCCAAAACACCAAGATCCTCCTCATCATTGTCCTCCATGTCTGTGACCTCCTCACTGGGGCTGATGTCTTCAAGCCCGGAGTGGTGCTGCAACGACAAAAAGAAAAAAAAAAATAAGTGAAAAATATATAACTGGCTAAAAAGTTCCTCTCCACAAAAATTTCCTCAGAGCTCTTCCACAGCTATGGTGAAGTTCACTTTTCTCAGTTACAACCCTTCAACCTCCTGTGAAGTACATCACCAGAGGAACCTTTTCTTCTCCAACTGTCAATGGTAACGATAAGGTCACTTGACTCATTTGAAGGCAAGGCCAAGCAGCTGCTCCTGAGGAGCCTATAAATACTACAGGACACAACCCCATTTACTTGATACAGCAGCTCATTCTTTACTCCAGCCTGCCATGTCATCCAGACCTTCAACTACTACTCATTGCTTCATGGCACAATAAATGTCGCAGAGTGTTTCTCCGAGCAACTTGGAGAGCCTTCAGCATCCTTCAGCGAGCACAGAGAAGAGCTGTGTCTTTGGTTTGTGTTACAGCATTCAGGTGGAAAAGGATTTTGTGGAGGTTAAAGAAGAGCAGATGCCAGTGATATAACTGTGAGTAAGTTGTGCACAGGAAGAAAAGGAACAGAGAATAAGAGTCTGATGTATAATGTAGAAAGTCCTTTAGGGCCTGGAGTGTAGATGATAAGCATGCCAAAGGTCCATCCTTTTCAAACAGACTTCTTAAAAATGTCAACTTTTTGCTGTTTTTTAACATTCATTACTACTTGAAATTTTAGAAAAGAGAGAAATGCTGAAGAAACCAATTACTCTATGTCCAGTCCATTTGCAGTAAATTCCCCACAGATTCCTACAGTTATTTGCACAGATCATTTAAACTGGAATTGAATATAAAAATAATAAAAATTAAAAATAGAAAATACAATTATCGCACCTCCATAGAATTTAGGTCGGGTAAAATGTGTAATCTATTATTATCTTTAGCTCTTATGCTATGTGTAAATAAGTAAGTAGGTAAGTCCAACGTTTCTGAGGCAGGATACAACTCAGTAAATGTCAAAATAATCTCTACTTGATCTTTATTCACATTGCTTTATTTATTCACCAGTGTGTGTTGGCAACTGTTTAGCAATTGTAATTTTATTTGCCTATTTAATTACAGTTTGCTTCCAATTACAATGTGCACATATTAAATGCTTCGATATGAAATGGCATTTCAATTGTGGCATGTTCAACTGCATGAAGTTGCACTGGAAATTTCCAATACATGAGCAACTGCTGGGTACTAACCTGAATATTTCATTCAACACATGCATGCATAAAAAACAGCTCCAATTACACACTCACGTACTCACGGGGGGAAATGCCTGAACACGTGAACAGAGGTTGGTTGGGTCTCCAAGCATGTTGATGGTTAAATTTAGAAATGGAAACAGAAAAGAGAAAAAATGCAAGGGTGGGCGAGAGGTCTGTTATTATTTCAGCACTCCTAAGTGATTAAAAAAAAGGCTCTGGACAGGAATAGGAAATTACTGCTGAAGAGGTCAGAGCATTTCTGCAGTAAATTTCTCCAGGACCAAGAGAGTATTTATATGTGATTTCCTAAATGCACCCAAAACAGAGCGCATCACTGGAGTTTCCAATCTACATCACAATGTGGGGAATCACCATCATCAGACCCATGTTTTCTGCTGACCCTGCTTCAATGTTTATTTCTTTTGACAAAGTTGAGTCACATTTACTCTGAATGAAAGAGCCTAAAAATGTTTGCTTTCTAAAAGTAGTAATTCAAATCTAACAATCAATTGTGCTAAAATTTTTACAACTGTGTGGTTAATAATTTCTAGGATAGTGAAGGCATAACTAGTGTGACTCTACTTCAAGGAAATTTACTGTGGACAGCAAATATTTTAGTAAGCCTTACTAAGCCTTAGTAAGTGTTTGAAAAAGTAACTAAAGTTTAAGATCAGAAAACTAAAACTACATCCATTTCTGAAGCACAATAACATTACAAGGTTCAAGCACCTGCTCCAGCAGAGTTGAACCTGTAGAGTAACAAATCATTTTGTTTTTAACTATGCCAAAACACAGTCCAAAGAATTATTACAAATGCTGTTTACCAGAAAAACCCTTCAGAGGATCCTCCACAGTCTGGTTTATTCTTTTATTTATGAAGTCAACAAAGATTCCCACTGGAGGAAAACTATGTTTACCATGTCCTATCTTTGCTGTTCCTCAGTTACGCAGCCATGGGCTGCAAGTACTTTTCCTCACCCCCAGATTCAAAACACACACAACAGAAGGAAAGTACAGCAGGCAGGAGAATCACAGAGACATCAGCTTGTTACCACTCATAATGTCTTTGACCTGCATAAAACTGGATCTCATCTTCGAAAAAAGCAGCGGGGAAAAGTCGAACAAACAACAGCAGCAACAAAAGTCTGGCTTCCTACTTCGCCAACAAGAAATCTGCTGCAAGACTGAAAATCCAATTACTGAGGTGATCTCTCAGTGGAAACACTGTCAAGAAACGTGGCGTTCTGAGGAGTTCGAGGCTCCAGCGTGCAGAGCAGGCAACAGCCAACTCTCACTGAACGGAATCATAGGTCTTGTTAAAGAGACAATGTGGGATTTTTCAAGGAATTGAGCTTTGATGCGTGACTCACAGAGGGAGGAGACCTCCTCTGTGCTGACACTGTCGACCTCCCACTCTGTGTGAAAAACAGGAGGGAACGACAAAGCGGAGTAAAGTCCCACTGACGTATGCCTGTGCATCCTCCTATCATCCCTCTGCATTTACCCTACATCGTGTTCCATTTTTAACTCAGCCTCCTCCTCCTCATCATCATCATCACTTTACCTAGCTCCCATCTCCTCCTGTTCACACGTCACATGGATTCCCCTCCTCCACCTTCATTGCATTAGAAAGTATGTCAGCATTTTCAACGGCTCTCCTGTGGCATTTCCATTTTTACATATTTTCTCCAATCAATTTTGAGTTTGAGTTCCCTTTGATTAATTCTCCTTCTCTCTCTCACTTTCCCTCCGCCCTCGCTCTTGTCCTCTCTCTCATTGTTTCTTTCATTTATATACTCTGCTCTCATCTCCTTGTTACATCACACCATGTCCTATTCTCTTTCATCCTCATCCTTCTCCTTTAGCTGTCTCTCTCGTTCAATTTACACAGAGAACGCACATCCCCTTTCAGCACTTCTCTCGGTCTCTAAGCATCATGAGAAAGTGTGGGCGGCCGGGGGAAGCACAAATGGGGGGTAGAGGGTTACAGGACTTTGTAAGTTTCTGCAAAGTTAAACTAGAAGGGAAGATTATTTTAGAAATAAAAGTTTTATCCACAGTCGTGACATAGAAAATACAGAAGCCAACACACCCCTCTACAGTTGCTGCTGCTGCACGCCTCGTCCTTCTGCCATTTAAAAGTATTCCTTCCTCATTAAGAATGAG